ACAAGACTGCAGATGTGAAATACTCATTCACGTCTCCTCAGATGTCCCTACCAGTGATCCATTGCCCTTTCTCAGTTGCCTAACCTGACTCTCCAGAATGAGAAGACAATCCTTTCATAAGGTTACAGTGGACTGCCTGTCCTTTTCATTTTTTTAAACTTTATTTTATTATTATTATTATTAAAAATTTCCACCTTCTCCCCACCTCCCATTTCCGCCCCCCCCCCCCCCCCACTTCCCTTTTCATTTTTAAACTAAGATTTTTTTTTTCTAAGCAATTGGGAACACCGAGGACTCATATCAATGTGCTGTCACCAACAGCAGCAGGATCAGTATAACGACATTGTTGTGTTTCTATCGTCCCTGATATGTATGACTAGCGTTTATGTTCAAACAGCAAACACAGTTTGAATAATTTAAGCAACCTGACAAATCATTCAGCCAGAAAGAAGCAGACACAACTCAAATTCTGTCTTCCTCGTTTCCTTTTAAACAAATGTTCTTAGCTATTGTTGCTGAGTTTGATGGTTTGGAAAACCAGTGGACTTCCTTGGGTAATTTCATATTGCTATTCAGGTGAAGAAATTAGTTCAAGAGTTGGCTAGGAATAGGACATAGTAGTAGGTCTAGTATTGGAGGAGTATCAGTTCTACTCCTGTTGAGTTAGTACAACTCTTCGCTTCTAAATTTTACAAAGAACTTCAGGTATTCATACACTTTTCTGAGCTAACTTGATAATATTTCTATGCTGGTTAGTTTTCTGTCAACTTGACACAAACTAGAATTATTTGGGAAGAGGGAATCTCAACTAAGAAATGCCTTCATCAGAAGGCAAGAGTATGGGAGAATTAATGATGGGAGAGGGTCCAGTCCACAGAGGGAGGTGTTACTCCTGGGCAGGTGGTTCTAGGGTTATTCAAGAAAGCAAACCGAGCAAACCATGGGGAGTAAGACAGTAATAAATATGTCTCCAGGGTCTCTGCTTCAGTTTCTGCCTGGGATTCCCACCTTCAGTTACTGCCCTGACTTCCCTTAGGGAAGTGTATGACAGACAAACCCTTTTCTCCCCATGTTGCTTTTGGTTATGGTATTTACCTTAGCAATAGGAAAGCCAAAGAGAACAATTTCTTAATATGTCTCCAGTACATAGTTTTGCATATTTGATTATATTTTGTTATGAATATTATATAGTCAGAATTGCGGGCTTGTGTGCCGCTGTCAGTAATGAGCAGGGACCTCATCAATGGCTATTTTGAGCAGTGGTTATTTCCAATGAAAGCAGATTATTGATAACGTGTAACAGAAGTTCAAAGTCAAGAGTTGTGGATGCAGCTCAGTGGTTGGGTACTTGCCTGGCTTGCACAAGGTCCTCGGTTCTACCTTTAAAGACAGCAAAAAAAAAAAAAAAAGGCAGTTTATTAGGGGGTGGGACTGTTAGTCATTTTTCTATTGTTGTTAAGAGATGCCAAGAGCAAGGTAACTAGTAAAAGAGAAAATGTTGAACAGGGGGCATGCTTACAGTTTCTGAGGTTTAATACATTATAATAACCCTTGTGGGGAGCATGGCAACATGCAGGGAGGGCTGGGGCAGTACCTGGCTATCCCCTGGTCCATAGGTGGGGAACAGGGGACTGGCATGGGCTTTTGAAACCTCAGCTCCACTCCAATTGCACACTTTCTCCAACAAAGCCATACCTCCTAATCCTTTTCAAATAGCGTCACTCCCCAATGATAAAGTATTCAAATACATGAGCTCATGAGGGCCTTTCTTATTCAAACCACCACAGGGACTCTCAGAATTCAAAGAAGTTTAAAAAGAATGTGTTTCCTCTTCCATTTTCCTGATGATGAAGACATAAAAAAAATGTATGTTGGGGGTAATTTACTCGGGATATAAGCTATTCATTGAGCAAACCCCACAATATTCTTTTGAGGACACAAAAGCTTGTTTCCATTTCCTATGTTCAGTCTTGTTTCTAAGAACTTAGTCACCTGTGTATGGACACCAATGGAATTGCATTACTCAGAGATGCAGGCCAGTATAAAACCACTTTCATCAGGCTCTTCAGGAAATGGTGAGGTCATTCTCATTTAACTGCTGGGTGACATCAGTAATGCCCATCTTCTTTTTATCTGCGTATCTCAGGTGAAACAACTATGTTAGTAACATGTTTGGAAACCTAGGCAACTGAAATATTCTTTAAAAAAATCAAGGGTTCTCTTTGAGGATCCAGGGTTCTACATCTTGTTCACAGTAGATCCTTCAAGTGGCCTCTGATTTATTACTTGTCTGCAAGAAACGATCTAGGCTTTTATTAACCCGTTCATCCTCATCATATTTTTATTAGCAGTATCCTTTTCTCTTTGATATTTGGGTTGCATTCCATGTTAGATTACCAAATGAATACACCAGTGGCACAGTTCCCCGCTACCAGCAGTGATTCTGTGGGGATGGATGGGTGGATGCAAAAGGTAGTAACAGAATGTTTAAAAAGACCAAAGTTAGACTCAGCAGAAGCAGAGATGGAAGTGTCCCAAAAGTTCATGGCTCACTCGACCACACGTGTTTTCCATTGACGGCTGGTGTTCTTCAGCTTTCATAATTACAACTTCAAGCTGCACCCCTCCACTGTAGGATGCTTGTTCCATTTGTGGCTTGCCCATTTCCTGTGCATTTTCTTCCTTCAGCCCACCCCAGTCACAATGGGTACCACAGGTGCTCACAGCAGGTTTGAAAAAAAAATTAAGATGAAATAAGGTTGCTCCGTATTAAAATATTTGGTAAGAAGAGGCCCACAGGCTTGGCCAGAATGGGACAATTGGAAAAAAGGTATGTTAGCAATCTACATGGCTTCTTTTTGCTATTGTTTCTTTTAGCCAAACAAGTAACTGGCTGGATTTTGCCTAAGAGGTCAAAGCAGGAAGCATAGTGACAATTTTAAGGAAAATGAAGTTGAGGCTGCTCTTTCATTCTTAGTATATTGATTAATCAGCATTTACGAAATCCTAAGTTCTACTTAAGTCCATAGGTTAGTCAGGGAGACGGAAGCACAGGTTTCAGCTGTGAGAAGTACAGCACAACAGAAACCAGCAAGTGTGGGCTGGAGTGTGTGGAGCAAGTGCGCGTGTTCATGTGTGTGCCTGTGCTCCTAAGTCAAGTGCACATGTGCCTGTGCTCCTAAGTCAAGTGCACATGTGCATATGCTCCTAAGTCAAGTGCACATGTGCCTGTGCTCCTAAGTCAAGTGCACATGTGCATATGCTCCTAAGTCAAGTGCACATGTGCATATGCTCCTAAGTCAAGTGCACATGTGCATATGCAAGCCTGGGCTCCTAAGTCAAGTGCACATGTGCATATGCAAGCCTGGGCTCCTAAGTTCCTGGGAAGGAAAAAGAGAAGTCTTAGGAGGCTATGTTCATCCAGAGCTATGCTCAGGGAACTAGAGGGAGAAAGGGAACAGCATTGGTCAGTAGACAGGGTAGTGAACAGTGGGTGTCCAGGCCCAGAGTGCCCTTTCCTCCTTTTCTAGCTTACTATCCTCTGTGTCAGTCTGTTCAGCAGTCCCTACCTTTTCTCTCCCTACGCTTACCCCTTTCATAGTGCTAGCATTTGCTGCGCTGATCAGGACACTAGTGCCTGGCTCTTTCTTGGACCATCACTCCACTCTCTACCATCAAGTCCTCAACAGTAATATGGTTACATGCCTTGACTGAAGTCCCTTTCAGACAGGTCCCCTAAAGCAGTACACTCTGACCCCTCAGCATTCACCACCATATGGCTCTCTCTCTCTCTCTCTCTCTCTCTCTCTCTCTCTCTCTCTCTCTCTCTTTCTCTCTCTCTCCAACCCCTTCAAACCATAGTGACCATTCTCAGTCTTCTTCTTTGTTCATTTTCTGCTTTCTGCGCCACGCCTCTAGAATGAACACCTAAAATATTTTGGTTGCATCCACACTGAGCACGCAGTAAGTGCTCAATAGGATGTGTGTTAAGTCCATCACTGGCAGTGAGGACTCCACTATGTTTAGAACAGAGAAAGCTTAGCATCCCCTTTCCATTTCCTAAGCACTGAGCTATTTGTTTAGCGTCGGGAAGAATGTAGTGAGGGTGAATGGCGAGCAGTCACTGGGGTTGCTATGACGGTATCGAGTCACACATCTCACACATCCCTTCCTTGGTACTTCTTCTGAGTCTTAAGAGCCAGGAACACAGCCACCCTCGGGAGTGTTTCAAAGAGATGGACTTGAAAGGAGCAATTATGTGGGTTGAACCAACATTAGTAAATTATATCAGAAAAAGCTGCTGGCTCCATTCCGTTTTCAGTGTGTTTGGACATTGTAGCTCTTGCAAAGAGAATGAAATTTCTTTGCGTAATGAGCCAAGATGTTATGTTTTCAGCCTGGCCCTTGAAGCTCCCATATATATTTTCCTGGGTAGAGTGTCCATCTTGGCTTTGTACTATTCCCAGGCTTCTCTCAGTAGCTTTGAGTGACTCTGCCCTTCATTGAGTTTAGTGAAAGACATTTGGAGAACCTGTTGTTTGGAGCGCTTTCTTCCCTCACATTGGCACCCCTCTAGTGAGCTGTGCACGTGGGGCTCGAGTCAGTTCCAGTTGCCGCTGGATTGGTTCCTAGGTGTCTGGCTAAGACGTGTGAGCGTGTGTGCTCTTCATTCATCTCTAGGTTTATAGTGAAATGCAACAGGGGTTATTTACATCTCCTTAAGGCATGGTGACAATGAGATGCCCCTTATTCTGTTGACATACTAGATTTTTGAGAACTTCCTATGGTACCCAAACTGGTGCCCAGTACCGACCAGTTTGCATTTACTCTGTTTCCTCATATACCTCTCTTGTATCACCCAGTTACCTCTCAGGGGATCAGTGCTTCTCTTCTGATCTGCAGCAGACCAAATTACGGTCAGTTCAATACTATCGTCACAAGTGGCTAATTCTCCTGTCTGCTCACAATTCAATAATCTACAATGTCCATTTCCTTCCTAGCACTGCAGCGACAACACACATCCCTGCCAGTCAGACATGAATATTGAGGGAGCCTGGAAGCGAGGTTACACGGGGAAGAACATCGTGGTGACTATCCTGGATGACGGCATTGAGAGAACCCACCCTGATCTGATGCAAAACTATGTAAGTGCTTGTTGTGGCTGGAAGTCCTCCATCCGTGGAAGACTCCTGATGGGATGCTCAGAAGGTGGGGGAGCTGCCAACAAATTTAGTAGGAGTTATGACAGGTTCTGTACTTAATTCCCTTCTTGGGAAAGGAGAACCCTTGCAGGTGAGGAACCACAAGAGTGGAACCACTCTTCCACTTCCCCATGCCTCTGATGGTGTATGTGCCCTTCAGAAAGAAAGGTATTAGGAACCCAGTCATCAACACCATCTGTTGCCAGCCATGCCCACTATCCTCAACAATTCAGGGAGACAGACAGACAGCACTGCCTTTGTGCAAAAGAGCAAACTGAGAATTTTTCTCCAGTTGTTCTGCCATCCTTTTCTTTCCCTTTTGTTTCAAAAAGATATTTAATTTTCTGAAATTATACTGTGATTGTATCATTTATCCCCTTCTCTTTGCTGCTTCAAACTCTCCCATATACCCTTCCTTGTTCTATTTCAAATTTGTGGCCTCATTTTTATTCATTGCTGTTACATACATAAATATGTGTGTATATACATATATATCTATATATATATACATACATATATTCTTAAATATATAAATACAACCTGCTCAGTCTGTGTAATATTATTTGCATATATGCTTGGAGGACTGACCATTTAGTATTGGATGAGCAATTGATGCGCTCTTCACTAGGGTAGACTATTTCTCTAACTCTTGGCATTCTGTAGATACCTGTAGTTATTTGTGTAGGGTTGAGGCCTGTGGACTTACCCAGTCTACTTTCTGTTGTTAGCGTTGGTCAGCTCATGTTTAGGCAGCCATGATGGTGAGACTTTCTGGGGGTAGCTTCTGACGTTACTAGGAGATATAATCTCACATTAAACTCCCTGTGCCTCTGGCTCTTACAGTGTTTCTGCCTCCTCTGCCCCAGTATTCCTTGTACCTCCAGTGCAGAAGTGATTTTGTAGATGTACTCATTGGGACTGGGCTCCACATTCTACATTTTGATTGGTTGTGGCTTTCTGTAATGGTCTCTGTCTGTTGCAAAGAGACTTTCTTTTCTTTTGCCACCCAGTACTACATACCAATCAATTTCTTTCTTAAGATGAAAAGGAAGATTCATTTAGCTCTACTTTGAACAGGAATCAGTGGCTAAATTCACCCTGCAGACAAGCACATTCAAATAAACTTGCACCTCTTTGCAGCATAGAATTTAAAGCTTGAACTTCAATAAAGTCTTTTCAGATATGGGTAAAGAAACTAAAGACGGGAGATTGAAGTCGGTTATCTTGGATGAGATGAGATCAGAACTCTAGCTTACCTGTACCCCAGAAGGGATATCTGTCTTGTCACATGCCAGGAGAGCCTCTGTGTGCTTCTACCTGCTGCAGGTGATGGGACAATTTTTGCTTCGTTTATGTTTTCACTCTGAAAGAACATTCTCTAGGATTCCCAATGACAGTGCTATCCCAGTCCCCCCTTGGTGGCCATATAAAAGCAGAGAAAGCATTAGATTGTTCAGACCAAAGACTTGGGCTCCCATCTGGTTTCTTTATTTGTTTATTAAAATTTTTCCACCTCCTCCCCTCCTCCCACTTCCCTCCCACTTTTCCCACTTCCCCTCCCCTTCCCTCTCCAGTCCTAGAGCAGTCAGGGTTCCTTGCCCTGTGGGAAGTCCAAGGTCCCGCCCCCCTCCATCCAGGTCTAGGAAGATGAGCATCCAAACAGACTAGGCTCCCACAAGGCCAGTCCATTCAGTAGAATCAAAACTCAGTGCCATTGTCCTTGGTTTCTCAGTCTGCCTTCATTGTCAGCCACATTGAGAGAGTCTAGTTTGATCACATGCTCCATCAGTCCCAGTCCAGCTGGCCTTGGTGAGCTCCCATTAGATCAGTCCCACCGTCTCAGTGGGTAGACGCACCCCTCGCGGTCCTGACTTCCTTACTCATGTTCTCCCTCCTTCTGTTCCTCATTTGGACCTTGGGAGCTCAGTCCAGTGCTCCAATGTGGTTCTCTGTCTCCATCCATCGCTGAATAAAGGTTCTATGGTGATATGCAAGATATTCATCAGTGTGGCTATAGAATAAGACCAGTTCAGGCTCCCTCTCTGCTGCCCACGGAACTAGATCCATATCTATCACCATGTACAAAACTCAAGTACAAATGGATTAAAGATTAAATCTGACCATACTCAACCTGATAGAAGAGAAAGTGGGAAGTAGTCTGCAACATATGAGCACAGGAGACCAATTCCTACATATAACCCCAGTAGCACAGACAATAAGAGCAACAGTCAATAAATGGGACCTCCTGAAAATGAGAAGCTTCTGTAATGCAAAAGACACTGTCATTAAGACAAAAAGGCAACCTACTGAATGGGAGAAGATCTTCACCAACTCCGCATCAGACAAAGGTCTGATCTCCAAAATATATAAAGAACTCAAGAAACTAGACATTAAAACTCTAATTAATTCAATTAAAAAGTGGGGTACTGAACTGAACAGAGAATTCTCAACAGAAGAAGTTCAAATGGCCAAAATACACTTAAGGTCATGCTCAACCTTCTTAGCAATCAGGGAAATGCAAACCATCTGGTTTTTTTTTTCATGTCGAGACAGGCTCCAGGTTAGTCCCTTTACTTAAGTCATGTTTCAGTCACTAGCTCAGTGCTCTTTCAGCTCTGGCAGTCATGAAGAGGTGACAGGGCTCCTGTGTGTACAAAGTAGAACTTAACGTTGTGGCATCATGTATTGTGTTTAACTCTCCAAAACCTTTCAACCTCAGTGGACTAAAACTTATTTCCAGGAACACAAGCATTCGGTGAAGATGGAAGCAAAGATAATATTGGCTTTTATTAACCCTGGACATAGATGTAGTCATGAAGCATAGGGGATTGGATAAGTGCTAAGTGCAGAAATAAAAAATAACAGTGGAAGTGACCTTGTGAGTTGTCCTTAGTATTCAGGGTCTTTTTTCCTAACCATTTTGAAAGCAAACAAATCTAACTCTGGCTTCAGAGGTTCTGTTTCCTCATTTTAAACCTTGGTTTAAGACAGCTTTGCTCATTATTTAGGCTGCTCTCAGAGCTGTGGGATAATACTAAGAATCACATTTGAAGGCTTTTATGTAATAGAAATTAAACAACACTAATGTTGTACAATGCATATCTCAAGAAACCTGATAAAATAAACATCTAATACCTTAACTGGCCTGCCAGTTATATGTGAACAATGTTTTCTCTTCTAAAAGACATTAAAATATGATAAAGATTATTGCAAGGTCAGGAATATTCCCAGTATTAGGGGAATGCTTAGAACATGTGGAACTGAAGACATCTGTACAAGATAAACATCTTAGGAACTGGGTCACTCTGGGTAAGAAAGGAAAAGCCCTTTGGCCTACATAGACTATCTCACCTTAAAGGGACAATACAACAGTGATCATTACTGAACCAGCAGTGTCTCTCTAAGGTGCCTGAAACTAGTGAACCCTGAGGGTTCTCGTTAACCTAATTACTGTCTTGCAGAAATGCATTTAAGAATGCATGAGCTTGTGGGCCAGCACTAACTACTGTCTGTTTCCCATCTCTTCTCCATGGTCATAGGATGCTCTGGCAAGTTGCGATGTGAATGGGAATGACTTGGACCCGATGCCTCGTTACGATGCAAGCAATGAGAACAAGTAAGACTCAGAGGGCGGGCTGGCATGTGCCTAGCCGGGAGCTCAGCTTACTGCTTATGTTGAGGGAATTCTTCTCTTCAAGACTCTTGGTAATAAAGGATCTTTAAATTGCATCAAAAGAAACAGGTATCTTTTCACCAAAGTTTCTGAGTAAAAAAGTGGAATCGTCTACAAAGGGGGAAAATGGCTACAGACAGGGCCCTGGGGATAGATCAGAATCTCCAGATCCTGAAGATGGAAGTAAAGATGTTAATTAGCTTATAACACAATTATATTGAGATAAATATGCTACGGGGAAAGACAAAAAGAAAAAAGTAATTCCCAAAGATTAACTTACTGTTAAATCCAACATATTTGTTTGGGCATTGCAGTTGAGGGCACAGATTGGGTTTTACACCATGGCACAGTGGAACACTCAAAGACTTATTGCCAGACATGGGCTGCATCTTCTTTCCTCTCTCCCTTCCTCATCAAGAGGCTCAGCTTCTCTTTCCAGTTAGTGTTGCAGTTTTTAGCAAATGCAAGTGAAAGTGCACATCCCTTGGGTAGCAGGATTGTATCATTCTTCAGTGGGTAAGTGCAATGGATTTTCCCAGTTACAAGGACCATCAGCAGATATTCTGGATCACTAAGCCACATCAGTTGACCTCTTTCCTCTTTTAGTTCCAAACTCCTCTGGGAAAACATTATAATTTAGAAATTCTCACGTGACTTTGTCTTAACGTGTTTGGGTTTGGACCACTGAAGTTGCAAAGGGGACTGACTGCCTTGACCATTCTTTGTGCGCTGTTTGCAATCCGCTGCTTTTTTGCAGGGGTGGGGAAGAGGCGGGGTTAAAGACAGGTTTTACTGTATCAGCCCAGGCTGTCCTGCCTCTGCCTCCTAAGTGCCAGAATTAAAGGCAGGCACCACTCTGCTGTGCTTCGTTGCTATTCTTAAGGGGAATGTGTCTTAGATCGTATTTGGCTGTAAGTGAGTCATTAAGTTCAGGTAAAACCTAATGACCTGGAAAAAACTTTCTGTTGCTTTCACCATCAACACAGAAGTTTCAACAAAGAAGCTGTAGACATATGCCAGGTTTTAATACGAACAATCAAGTATATATAACAAATAGGGATCTGTAGTGGAAACAGTAATATATATATATATATATATATATACAAATATGTATATATGTATATATATATGAAGATGTTTCCAGAGCTTCCAAACAAAAGAAAATGAGACTGTTATAGTTAATAGTCTTCTATCAGACCTAGCTTTTAATGTCTAGAGTATAATGTTCTGTGAATATCACATAAGGGGTTAGAGCTTCAGGCAACATGAGCTTATCTGTCTATCTATCATCTACCCATATCTATATTTATTTTAGCTCAGTTGCAAACTAGCCTGAAATGACTTGAAGCACTCAGTATTTGGAAATACACTCTCACAGTGGAGACGGATGTAAGATATCTTTGCCCTTTCATATTTGCTTTGAATTGAAAACCTCTCTAAAAATAATCTTTAAAATAAGGAAAATACACTGCTAGTACTTCTCTGTGCACCATTCTGCGCTCATGAAGCACAGGCATTCCCAACAACACTCTACAGAATTGCACAATACAGAGAAATAACAAAATTCCCATCTGTAGCATTCACAGATGTCATGGTCCAAGCTGTACACATAGTAGGGATGTAATTAAATGGTATTCTAGTCTTGTGAATGTTAAATCATTGAATGTATCAAAACTGCAATAAGGTGATTCTTTACCTTGGAAAGAACCCGACGTGTGCGTCTCTGTCTTATAAGCACAATTATACCCATTCCTGCTCAGACTCTTACATGCAAGATAAAGATAATTGTGGAGAACAAGCGTGGAAAGCAGAGCGGTGAGGGAAAAAAGCAGGCAGAGTGTTAAGCGGAATGGAAGGTGTGTCCTACTGGTCAGGATGAAGGCACATAGGTGACGGGGAACTGACAGGGAAGTCTCCTGAGAGCAGGTAGAAACTGCAGTGCCGCTAGAGTGATCACTTGTGGCTCATTGGACCCTACGATGAGAGCTCCGTGTGTGCTCCCACCTGTTCAGCTTATCTGGTGCATTTTGTTTTGTTTAATTCACCTGGAGATTCTAGGAGAGAATTGCATGTAAACAAGTGCCAATTCTACATATGCTTAGCATAGTCCCTAATGGATCAATCATGCTGGAAGAGACTGTTTATCAAAGCAAGCGTTACAGCAAAGCTGACTGCAATATACACATTCACTAGATTTATCACCTCTGTGTTTGCAGAGAGAAAGGGGGGTGATGGGAAATGTCTAGATCGTGTTAACGACAAAAGTGTCCTCCTGTAGGATGTGAATCCACAGATATGCTGTGGGTAAGAACAGGAGACCAGTGGCTTGAGCCCTCAAGCTAGTTATGTCTAAAATTGATCCCTCTGCTTGTTATATATAAATCTACCTGTGGTGAGATTTTGCATTGAAATGGAGTGGTAATGGTGGCCATTAGAGGTGTGTCTGCTGTGAAAATGTAGTTCATTGAGTATTGGTTTTTCTAGTGATATACAGACTATTTGTTTAAGCTTATATGCTTAGATATACTAGTTAAATAATATAGATTGCTAATGTGTTGTATTGGAAGAATTTCTTTTAAACTTGCCTTTTCCTAGGACTTTTGTTCATGTATCACTGGGCTCCCGCTCTGTCTGGAGCATGCAAGTGTGTCCCAAATTGACCTCCTCTAAGAACTTACATGGTTTATTGAGTTCAATGGGAGTTTGATAGATGATACCAGCATTGTTCCAGATGTGCGCCAATATTTGTAGCCTTTAAAAGAAAGGTTTTGACTGAAATAGAATTACATCACTTTCTCCCTCCCTTTTCTCTCTTTCGCCCCTCCAAAATACCTTTCTTGAATCCCTCCTGTATCCCCACCCACCTTCAAGTTAATAGCTTCTTTGTATTATTATTATTTATGTGTGTACTCACATGCACACATACACACACACACACACACACAACCTACTGAGTCCATTAAATACAACCTTCTGTCTTTTTGTTGTTGAACATATAGTTTCAGTGAAGATTACTCTGTATTGGATACTCCATCAGGAGGCTTATCCTTTATTTGTAGCTTGATAGTAAAATAGAATAATGTTCAAGATCTCACACCAGCATTCCATGTATGTTTGTGAAAGCCTTAGATCCCCATGGTACAGACATCCCTTTAGCCTCTGTAGTTCTACCTGTGTTTGTTGTTGTTGTTTGTGAGGTATTGTTTGGTTTGGGTGTGTGTGTGTGTGTGTGTGTGTGTGTGTGTGCGTATGTGTGTGTGTTCCCTCTTGGCTAGCTAAGAGCATGTGTTCTAGCATTTGTGGTTAAAACACCTCTGTTCAGTGCACTATACTGTCAGACACAATTGATGGATACGTCTTCAAGCATGCGTCCATGTTTAGATGAGGCTCTCATCACACTAGGAATATGAGTGGATTTGTAGGTAGAGAAGAGATAACAGAACCTGAGTTCTCTGTGAGTAGCTTTGGTTCTAACTACCCTGAACTTTTCTACTTAAATATAGTATATAGGAAGTAGCAAAACAATGCTCACTCTAAAAATAGCAGTACAGTGTATAAAACCCTAAACTAACTGCATAGTGGGTGCTGAATAACTATAGCTCTTGTTACTGTGATTATATGTTCCATTCACTTTTCTAATTCCTTATAATCAGTTAGAAGTGATTTCAAAGGATGTGTGCATGGGAACATTTCCGATCTAAATTAAGTATTAGGAACTCTATTTCCAGGGTTAAAAGTTGAGCTAGGTGCTGCTCTGCTCTGAGGACTGGAAGCTCTGACATGCTCAGTTCTCAGTGCTGTGTGGAATTTGTTTTACTTAAAAAAACTTATTTACAGGTTGGAGAGATGGCTCAGAGGTTAAGAGCACTGACTAATCTTCCAGAGGTCCTGAGTTCAATTTTCAGCAACTATATGGCAGCTTTTGCCCTCTTCTGGCATGTAGGCATTCATGCAGACAGAATACTGGATGGATAGATGAACGATGATAGATGAACGATGATAGATGAACGATGATAGATAGATAGATAGATAGATAGATAGATAGATGGATGGATGGATGGATGGATGGATGGATGGATGGATAGATAGATAGATAGATAGATAGATAGATAGATAGATAGATAGATAGATGATAGACCTTTTTAAAAAGTCCCCAAACTAAAACACTTACTTACTCTTATATTTTAATTAAAGTACAATTATATATCTTTCCTTCTTCTTCCTCCATCAAAGCCATCACATGCCCCTGCCTTCAAATCCATAGTCTTCTTTACTCTGATTATCACTGTTACGTATATATGTTTGCCAAATATATAAATATCGCCAGCTGAGTCTGTTTTGTTCTTTATATATAGTTTCAGGGCTGATCACTCTGTATTGAGTGATCAGGGGCTTATCTGTGGGAAAGGCTAATTCTACTTCTTCCAGCAGTAACTGGTTACCTGTAGGTCTTTGCTTATGGGTGGGACTCAGAAAACTTTTCCTCCTTCCCGGTTAACATATTCATTGACATCCCCTTGTTTATGAAGCTATGTCTAGGAGAGACAGTTTCACAACCAACTTCCTGGAATTCTGGCGCTTTCTATCTTTCTGCCCCTCTTGCACAATGTCGCCTGAGCCATAGGTCCAGAGGCTGTGATGTAGATGGATCCATTAGAGCTTGGTTTCCCTGATTCTGTTTATCTCTGAATCGTGTCTACCTATGTGATGATCCCATTGGATGTAACAAGAAGTTGCTTTGATGAGAGGTGTGTCCAGGTGATGTGAGGTGGGAAATGTGGAGACGGGGTGGGAGGGGCACCCACTGAGAATCAGCGGAGGGAGGTAAGTACAGAAGGAGAAGGAGAGACAATGGACAAATAATACTAACACTGAGTAAAGCCTCAAGAATCTTATCATTTTATAATTACCACAAATTATATATAATATATATGAGTATTATG